GCACCTCTTCTCCAACGGCTTCCCCCCGCCCACAAAAACTTCGCATGTGTGCGAGTAGAGAAGAAACTACCAGGTGAAGGTTCCGCGATGCAGTACTCAAAGTAGTGGAGAATTTTAATGTGTTCCTGTCCGAAGCTCTATGGTTTATAAGAATAAGACTAACACTGTTGTTAACTTGAATTACTCATACTGACAACAGAGCACTTGTTCTTGTTTTTCTCTTGATTTGTTTTTTTCTTTCATAAGAGATAGTTTGAAGGTAACACTTTCGTTCCGCTGACAGCAGTTGAGTCTAAGCAACTTAGCAAAATGAGTCAAGTGAAAGGAGGAACTTATTTTTTGTCGAGGCTGGATTCTAAAGCATTCCCAAAATCAAATGAATCTTGTTCCTATTGATACATCTAACATCAAAAAGCTGACAAACTGTCAACAGCTTTGCTCTTCTGCGACATAAACGAATTTTAAGAACCCAAAATGCATATTATAGATTATTTACTTGTTCAAACCAATTTCCTTCAAAGTTACTACTTGTTTTTCTTTTTACCACACTTTGCGTAGTGTGGATTGTAAAAGCGCACAGATCACGAAAAAAAGTAAAGAACTTAAATGCAGATGAGTATAAAAAGCGGAAAACAGCTGCGAAGCGAAAATTTGTAAAAAAAAAACGTCAAAAGCTAAAAGCATAAAACAACAGACAGCTATCGCTTGTTGCATGCCACACTGCGCATATGTACCATATACTAGTATGCCACATCAACACCACAGCGAGAGTGGGACGACTTAATTGGCTGGGTTGGTAGTGTTGATGGCCGGGGCGGCGGGTGGTGCCGCACTTGCTGACTGCCGCTGGCAGTAATGTTGATGTAAACATTACTTTTTGGCACATGCAACACAACACGCGTTTCAAAAGCTGCCTCACTCGACTTGACAACTGCAAGTGCGAGCTATTGCCACTACAACTCATCTGCACTTCCACCCCTCTTACTCCGATCTCATTGCCGACTGACACTCATTTTCAGCCACTTTTTCCTTTTGCTTCACTGGTGTTTTTGTTGTTGTAGCAGCTGTTGATCTTCACCCGCAGCCCTATAGCACACTACATATCCTCAAGTGCATTTACACGCTTACTTGCTCGCAGGCGCCTTTCACGCTCTCTCTGTCTTCCAGCACTCAACACCCAACACTCATCCAACCATTCACGGAGCTTTTTATACCCTGAACAGGGTATATTAAGTTTCCCACGATGTTTGAAACCTAGACCTAGAAGAAAACGTCGGAGACTATAAAATATATTTTGCGGATCATTTAGCATGACGAGCTGAGTCAATTTAGCCATGTCCGTCTGTATATACGCGAATTAGTCCCTCAATTTTTTAGATATCGATCTGAAATCTTGCACACGTTATTTTATTCTCAAGAAACTGTTAATTTGTCTGAAACACAGATATCGGACTACTATAGCATATAGCTACCAAACAAATTGAACGATCGGAATCAAATACTTGTATGAACAACTTTTTCATTTGACGAGATATCTTCAAGAAATTTGGTATGGATTATAACTTATAACTTCTTGTAAGGAATCTTTTGTATTGTAAAGGGTATTATAACTTCGGTTTCGGCCTTTTTCCTGTTTCGTTTGCCGTTGCTGGCGCTTACAGTGTTGATGTTTTGATTTAAGTGCGTCAAAAGTTGACTTCCTGCCGCTGCTGTCATGCTGCTGATGAAGCTATTGCTACAGCAGCTGTTACTGTTGTTGTTGCTATTGTGTCAGCTAGCGGCGTTTGCATTCCCCTTTTTTGTGCAACTCGAAGCTTTAACGATGCGGATGTTTTAGTTCGTCAGCCGTTTTATTTACGATTTTTTCCTTGCTGCCATTTTAGTTGTTGCTGCAATATTTCTTTGCTTAGTCCTACAATGCGGCAGCAGTAGTAGCAGCAACAGCGCGTGAGTGTGGTTGCTGCACTTATTACTATTGTGTGCCGCAAGCAAAGCAATAAAGTCGCTGGAGGTGGGGGCACGCGTGATATTGGTCGGCTAAAACCAGCGAGTGCAAAATGTGACGCTGCATTTCTGCAGCACTGTGGCATTAATTAGCGCGCACCCGCTCCCACACCCGCATCCACATACACTTCGTGTACTTAAAATCAGAAAAGCCGAAAAACTATTTTGCATTTTTTGCGAATACACATTTGCGTTGTGTTTGCTTTGCAAATTCGCGGTGCGAAAGGAGCAGTGTAAGAGAGCATAAACAGAAACGGAGTGCGAGATAGCAATTTGGCAGCGTGTGCAAGTGCTGGTGGCGCCACACACACACTCTCTCTCTCTTCCTCCCTCATGGAAAATAACTCTCCGCGCACAAATTGCTGTAATTAATGTCGTGCAAAGTTGCGTGAACTTGGCTGCAATCAAGTGGCGCTGCTAGTTAAGTTTTCGGGGTGAGGTTTAAGTGGTTTTATGAATGCAAAAATTCAGTGGTTGCTGATGGCTTCGCGGGAAGTTCTTTGGCGCCAATATGTGCGGTTTATGAGCACACACTCAGCTTATACGCGTGTATATTGCCTTATAAGTAAATATATGCATTTGTGAGCGTTTGCGTTTGCTGTTAATTTTAGTTGTTTTTTCTTTTTGTGGCTTGTTGACATTTTCCATTTGCAAACAATAACTTTTTAACGTTTGTATATGTTTGCTTAACCAAAATACATTAACCTTTTTTAAGCTCTACTCACAGTGAGTAGGAAACTTATAACATATGGCTAAAATTTAAGGAAAAAAAACAAGAAAAAACGTTAACTTCGGTTGTATCGAAGCTATAATACCCTTCACAAATACAAAATATTTCTTACAGAAACTTTGATTGGTCTGTTTGTATGGCAGCTATATGCTATAGTTACTCGATGTGAATTATTTCTTCGGCCGTTGTCCTACACAATAACCCATGCCAAATTTCTTGAATATATCTCGTCAAATGAAAAAGCTTTTCATATAAGCACTTTATTCCGATCGTTCAATTTGTATGTCAGCTCTATGCTATTAGGTTGTTCACGCTTAACTGCTTTACCGTTATATATAGTAAGGCTTGCAAATCGTCGAATAACAACTCGAGAGATTACCGAATGATTAAATTTGTTTATCGCGACCGCTTACAAGCACATGAGGCGTCAACGAAAATTAATTGTTTACAACAATGTAAAGCGCAAGCATCTTGATCTAAGAAGGATAAACCAGCTTAAATCACTTCAAAGGCCGATAGTCACCAAAAAAAAGGTTATGTTGTCAATTTGGTGGGATTCAAAAGAGACGTTTATTTCGCGCTTTTGCCCGACAATACCACAATTAATTCTGCAGTGTATTATGATCAGCTGGACAAATTGAGTGATGCACTCAAACGGCAGAGTTCAGAATTGATCAATAGAAAAGGTGTAGTGTTGCATCAGGATAATGCGACACCTCATACATATTTGATGACTCGCCCTTTTGAAGCTTGAACAGAATGTGCCACCACACCCACGGTCTCGGCACAATTTTTAGAAGGGAGAATCTTCATGTCAAATCAGGACGTCAAAAACCACCTGGACCAGTTTTTTGACTGCAAGGATCAAACATTTTATAAGCACTTTCTTTGTGAGAAAGTTAGTTTTATTAGTTTATATTACTAACTTTTTACTTTACCTAATAGGTATATACAGACAGGCGAACATGGCTAAATCGACTTATCTCGTCACGCTGATCATTTATATAAACATTTTATAGGGTGGCAAACTTAATATACAGTGGGTATCCAGTATACAGTGGTACATCCCCATGATTACCCTTTGTATAATTTTCCGCTCAAAATTACTACCAGCGATGGGTTTGTATAGCGTCTACCAATAGAGATGACGTGATTTCAAAAACTCATGGTTGCCATGTCAAATTTTTTCAGTGTGTTCAGTAAGGTTTGACATTTCATCATGTCACGTTTCACTTTGGTACAACGCTTAAAAATTGTCCAAGATTATTACGCGAATATACGTTCTCCATAAAATTCGGAAATCCTAAAATCATCTTCTCAGATAAGGCCCATTTCTGGCTTAATGGCTTCGTCAACAAACATAATTGTCGCTATTGGGGTGAGTCAAATCGTCGTGTAGTTCAGGAAACGCAATTGCATCCCCAAAATGATAAATAGCGAGCATTATAACACGATGTTGACGAACTTTTTTTCCGGAAATTTTTTGATGAAATCGACGCGAACAATCTTTATTTCCATCAAGACGGTTTGCGTCCTCATGTTTTACGTCTAAACAGGGACACATTTCATGCAAAGTTTTGCGACTCGCTAAATAGCCCAGTCGAATGGCCGCCAAGATCTTGCGATTTAATGCCTCTAGATTATTTGGGGGTATGTTGAATCAAAGGTTTAAGCCAAAGGTCAACTCGAAGACAACATTCAGAGCACTATAGCTAAAATAAATGCTGCATTGGGTCATCGAAATTTTACGTAAACGGGTGGAGATATGCAAAACGGAGCCGTGGTGACCATTTGCCCGACATTTTGTTCAAATCACACATGGCATAACAATACCCATTTCGAGTGTTTTATTTCGTTTCAACATCACGTCGTGCTTGTTGGTAGTGCTTTAGAAAAAAAAATTAAGTAACAACAATGTGAAAGCAAAGATCTCACCTCTCAGGCATCTTAGAGGTTTCTAACGTTTCTCGCTGTTGACAACATATTTCTTCTTTAACAACCTTTTTGCACTACCTTTATTGACATAAAGCTTTACTTACACACATGAAGAGAGACTAACTCTCTAATCATTACAGCATAAATCATTTCGGTTTATATTTCAAAGCACTCTCTTAAAGTAAATCTTACGTGTTAAATATTTTTGCTAATGTTAAATTTGACTTCTCTCAAATTTCGGAATTATTCTTTTAGATATGTAGTTCATTTTATATTTAAATTAATATTTTATACACTCATTAACCTAGTGTCACATCCTCTTTTTTTACAGCACCAACACAATGCCCAGACATAAATTGTTGCACACACACTATCAGCTGTTTGCCTTTGCGCTTATCAGCATTCTACCGTTAATCAGCTGTAAGTAGCATTTACTCTATGCACTATGAAAAACACGTCTCACTCATTTACCCTGATTACTCCTGTGGCTCTTCTAATAATTTTTCATTTTTATAACCCTTTCTCACATTATCTTTTTTCACAGCTGAAACTAATCGCCCGCCTGTCTTCACCCAAGTACTTAACAATATTGTATTGGAGGAGAATGCAGCTGTTGGTACAGTCGTCGCTCAGTTACAGGGTTACGATCCGGAAGGTAGTAATGTCACTTTTGGTGCCATCGGTTCAGAACACTTTGAAGTGGACCCCATCACGGGCGTTATAAAATTAATTAAGCCATTAGATCGCGAAGAGAAAGACAGTTTGTTGTTTTATGTCACGATACGTGATCGTGTCAGTCCCGATGGCGAATCCGAACAAGATAATATTGTACAAGTGCCAATCACCATTATTGTATTAGATGAAAACGATAATCCACCAGAATTTCAGAACGTAAGTTGAATAAGAAATATATAAAACTAGAATATAAGACGGATAAACGGTTGAGGAGAAGTTATTCAGTCAGGTACCTTCAATAATTTTTTTAATACCAAAATCAGTCAATTAAAATATATGTCTTCTGTTTGCTACAAATTTGTTGGCCGCTCTGTTTTTATGAATGTTAGGAACTCAAGCCCTGCTTTTAGCACAGAGAAGGTTCCGACTTTTGGAGACGCACTCTAGCATATTCAGCTTAGAGGCCCATTATAGCACTCAGTGGGTAGGGTTTATCCAAAACAAGATGTGTGGTAAAAATGTAAAAGTCAATACAATGCATCGTAAAAAGGACCTCATAAACCGATGCCTTAATGATGTTGATATCCTTGTAAAAATACTAATATATCGGCTATATAAAAGAGCACAAGTTCAGAGTTTCGGTTCGTGTTGGGAAAGAGTATTTACCGATATTTACAGTCGTACCCTCATCATAAAACAACATTTTTAAGGGGTTAGGGGTAGTCAGAGACACGAAAAAATAAGAATTTTCAGTAATTTTTTTTTTGCTATTAAATCCTGTTAAAAAAAATTTTATTTCCAAAGTTATAGCTTTCTGTGTTGACCCAGTTCCAAAATAAGGTCCTTGCGGTGACAATCATAAGTCCTTGGAAATTCATCTAAAATCAATCGGATAACAAAAATTAGTATAATAATCCTGCGCCTGATCGAAGCTTTTTTTTCAAAAATTAACAAAATGGCGGCCTCAAGGAATTTTTGAAAAAAAATCCTTCGATCAGGCCCGTGTTTATTATGTATTCTAAAAGCTGTATAAATTTCATTAAAATCTACTAAGCGGTTTTCGAGTTACACTTGTCGCCAGTTCAAAAAACATAGTTTTGAGAAAAACGCATTTAAAGTTTCACACTAGACTTAGCGCCCGAGCGCCCGAGCGCTCTTTGTTTTTTGTCGAATAACTCAAAAAGTAATTATCGGATCAACTTGACATTTTCAGACAATATTATCAAGATATTACACGTAAGGAAAATGCAAAATTGAAAATACTGACTACCCCTAACCCCTTAACATCTCTCTAATTTTCTCCGACAGAAGAAAAGACTATTAAAATATTGGTAGTATGAGCGCTAACTTATTAATTTTGGTTCACTTTCTGGCGAAATAAAGTCCTCATTGACTGAAGATGAATTATAAGATCTCACGTTCACAGAAATCAAAACCTTTGACGAAGTTTCTCACGTGGGCTAAAGCTAATCAAATTTATTAGAGCCTGGAATATGGTTTTTTGAAGTACTAACTTTATAACCTGAATGTGCTCTGTTCAATTAAAAGCACGGTCGTTATGAGATCGGAACAAGTTATGCAATTATATTAAAGATCGTATCCTTAATCATCCTTGGAAAGCCGCTTATGAAGTGGGAATTTCAGATTTCAGGACAACTTTTTCTAAAGGGTGCAACATCGATCCAGTGAGATAATCTCCTGCTTTTTACCGAAATTTTTTGTTTCTATCAGGCTCGATATATATAGATATTTGCTGACAGCGGAGGGCATTCGCTAGTTAAACCCCTGATCACTAGCTACTAATACTATATGAGCTTATATCTCTTAAGAATCTTTTTTTGTGAGACAAATATATTTTTTATTATATTTCCCAGACACCATATGAGACAGATGTGAACGAGAACGCCGCCATCGGCACAACCATCTTCAATCAAATACTCGTAACAGACCGCGATACCATCGGTGAGAGTCTCGACCTTAAATGTCTGCCGCAAGAGCAGAGTCCAGAGGCGTGCAACAAGTAAGTTCTCGCGCTAAAAAAAACATTTCATTTAAATGACTTATGTCTTGTTTACTTTTAATAAAATTAACAATCACTTTACACTTCACAAATGTCTTTTCATGCCGTCCTCGCATACAGATTCCGTTTGGAGCCATTATCGCGTGAGCCAACCGTATTAAAGGCAGCCGTTGTGCTGAATGACACGCTGAATTATAATCAACGCATGATTTATCACTTTCAAATTGAAGCGACGGTAAGTAAAGCGCGAACGGGGAATAGGGAACAAGGGATGTACGGTAGATGGCTTAACATAGCGGGTGGCTTTATACAATTACCAATTGGTGACTTTTTAATAAGAAATTAAGTTGTTAACAACATTTCTCCGTTGCAACCACTCGGCACATCTCTTTGTGCTTGTCATTTTGACTTATCTGCTTATTTATCATTTCATTGCTTTATTGTTGTAATTGCTTTTCTTTTTCTTTTATTTTGTAATTTCTTTACTTTCGTGCTTCGGCTTTCTTTAGGATGGCGTACATAAATCACAAACGAATTTCGAAGTACGCGTCAAGGATGTACAGGATAAGCCGCCTGTATTTCAGGGCTCCTTGTCGGCGGTCATCGATGAGGATAGTCCCATTGGTACGTTGGTGCTGAAGGTGCAGGCACGCGATGGCGACACAGGCGAACCGAGGAAAATCGTTTACGATTTGTTAACGAGTAAGTGCAATAATTAAGTTGATTAATGGTGGCGGCATTTTACGCAATTATCTGATAAGTTATTGACCGCTGAAAGGCAGATTTATTGCGAATACACACACATACATACAATCTATACGTAACGTAATAAAAGTACACAAGCACAGACCATTGTTCATTTATGAGAACAATTAGTCTTTTATAAATAATATTTCTACATCCATATCTGGTCGAAACAATAGATACGCGGGGAAATTGGAAGAACTTTTTATGCTATTAACTCACTTTACGGGATATATGTATATCCGTAGGGTTTAATAAATATCTTCTATGTGGAGATATTCGCAAGCCTGAAGGACTGTTATTATGTGAGCCTATCTAACTCTCTCTGACAGTTATTTCAATCTTGGTCTTGCCTGTACAAGACGTATTGTCGAGGGTTCCTTGATTTCGCTGGAAAGATAGTAGAAAACGTTTGGATGTTCGCAAGTAGAGTGTAGTCAGATCGTTATAAAAAGCTCATAAGCAAAAAGTTGAACCCTATGTTCCATATATTCAACGCTTTACTCGTTGACGTTTACTGGGCATAGCAGAATGCACTAAGAGAATATTAAATAACATGTATTTTGATTAAAACTATTAATGATTTAGCATCTCTCCTTTAACCATAATTTCAGATTGCCTGTCTGAATAGTTTTGTAAAATTGAAAATATTTTCTTGCAATATCCAATATTCGAACAGTCAGGACGCAATTTGACAGTGATTGTTACAGTTTCTATATGATATAGGTTCTAGAGGCTACTTCCCAAATAGAATAATGAGTAACCTGAATGTGGATGTGACAGCTGAGGTTTGGTACCCCGAAATTGATGACGGTTTGTAGAGAGTAATCGCGATTTCAGTTAACTACTTGCAGGTATTTCAAGAATTTAGAAGTGCGTGGGAACTTGTTAACATCTAGATCAGTAACAGATGAGCGGGTCCCATTGGCCTTGCTTAGATGACGTTAAGTTGAATATAGTTTCTGGCCATAGCTTTGACTGAGCTCATATGAAAAATCGATCACATAAATTTGATTAAAAGCGCCATATCTTTTTGACTCCGCTTGAAATGTGTAAAATCCAAGTTTATCTATAGTTTTGACTATATTATATGTGCACGTATATAAATTATTTAATTCGTAGCTGTAATACTTTTTTTTTAAATACTAATTTTTAACATACACTTTTTTAGATCCCATGGACTATTTCTTACTGAATGAAAAAAGTGGGGAATTACGTACCGCCAAACCTTTAGATCGCGAAGCTCTTCCCGATAGCACCGGCTTGATAACACTCACCGTTAGGGTAAGTCGTATTTTAATGACATATTATGGGTTCAATCATTCGATAATAGTATTCAGAATACAAACAAGAAACACGATGGTGAGTTGAAGAAGTCCTTAGCATTGATACAAACGATTCCTGTATCACGACCTCTCAAATCAAAGATTAGCTCTTTGTTGGAAGATGCTCTCTGTAACCGTTCAAATTAAGCAGCGCTGTAAATATATAAGCTATTTCTCAAAATTTTATTTTTCATCATTGAGCTTTGAGAATCTTGCTGCCCTAATATAACAAATTTTATCATTCTGATTTTCTTGTACCGGCAAGGCTTCGCATGAGCTGGGTGACTGGATGCATTAACTTCGATGAACTGAGCAAATTGGCTCGATTGTAAATAACCACCTCAACGTCTCTTGATCCATACTTAATAATGTTTGATCTAAGAAAGGTAAGGTTTTTAACAGATCAAGTGTGGTACGCGTGATCTTCGTCGCGGCGAACAGCCTCGTAATTTGATCTAACCCATATTTTTATAATAAATATTATGGGCTTCGCCAAAAAAGTATGTTAAAAATCAAAATGAACTCCGAACACTATCTTCTGAAACAATGATGCCTTATGTACTAGAGTCGCCAGTGATCGAAATTCGTCCAATAGAAAATACAATTGATCAATAATGCTACTAGTGTTTAAATTTTATTGCAGAACTTGAACGAAATGTGAACAAAATCTTAAAAAAGTTTTAGACCACAATTTACAAAAATCAATTTACAAAAAATTAAAATTCATAATTCCTTCTCGTGCAAAATTTTGTTGGTGAGTTTATAGTTAGTAGTTGATATTTATTGCTAATCAGTCATTCGCTCAATTAATTACAATTTTTTTGGAGTTTTTTTTTTGGAAGTGTAGTGTAGTGTTAAGAAAAAATTATCTCTCAAGTTGAAGTGCTGTTGATGTCGATTCAACCAACTAACTAACCTTGGAAAAAAATGATTAAAAATTTAACTACCAAATAGGGCACTTGAAATTTAACTAAAAATTTCTAACTAACCAAAATAAAACGAATGCCATCAAAGGTTATTTCCACTTTTTTTTCACTATACAATAACAATACCTGCAATTTAATGTGCGTTAAAAATGTAATTGTTACAGAATTTAATGTTGGAACACGTAAAGTCCAAACACAATTGCAAGTGGAAAAAAATCGAAACCACAAATCCGCCGTAAACGATACACAATAACCCGATATGTGTATGTTGTTGCAACTTATACAGAGTAGCGACGAAATGTACTTCTGTATACGACTGTGTTAAATGCGCCACCGCGTTTGTAGTTGTTGTAGTCGCTAAATTTGCGCCAACGCATTTTTACCTGTTTTTTCGTTGACGTAGATGCAAAAAAAGAACGTTGTGGACTTCTGCTCGTCTTCTCCTTTCCAACGGCATATATAGATTTGGCACGAACGCAATATCGAAACTCGTCACATTTCAAAATATTTGTCTGTTTTGAATTAAAATTCTTTCAAATTACCTTTTTTAAGCTCTCTTTCTTTATTTATTTAATTGTTTCAGGCTCGTGAACTTGTGAATGGCACCGCCAGCAGTGACTCACTTACGAGCACCACCGCTCAGGCCACCATAACCATACGTGATGTAAACGATTCTCCGCCCAGCTTCAATAAGAAAGAATATGAAGTTTCACTCCAAGAGAATACAGCACCCGGTACGCCACTCCCACTTGACATGAATGTGACAGATCACGATGTTGGCATTAATTCGAAATTCTCGTTACGCTTGGATGATGTATCCGGGGTATTTGAGGTGGAACCCAAGTATGTAAATGGTTTCTCACAAGTCAACATACGCGTCGGCAATGGCACACTGGACTATGAAAATCCCAATCAGCGTAAATTTATTGTGCTCGTCATTGCCGAGGAGACGGATACGAAACCGAAATTATCCTCAACAGCTACCATTACAATAACTGTGTTGGATGCCAACGATAATAAGCCAATGTTCGAGCATGAATCATATTCGGCAAGTATATCGGAAGCGGCTGCGCCCGGTCAATATGTCACTACCATCACAGCGAAAGATGTGGATTCAGGTCAATATGGTGATGCGGGAATACATTATAGTCTGTCGGGTACCGGTGCTGAACTCTTTCACGTTAATGAACAAACTGGTGTAATAACATTAGCCGATTGCCCGGCAACGTTGGCTAACGGCGCAGATGGACCTGTTGGTCGGCAGCGTCGTCAGTTGCACGCGCAAACCGATTCGACAGATTACGCATCACTCCCGCTCGCCAATATGGATAACTACAGCCATCTGCAGTTTACCGCCACATCATCGGCGGAGGAGGAGGATAATGAACAGCCCAGTGCTGCACTTTTTAATGCGCTAGATATCAATACAGAACCAACGGTAGAGTATAAAGTCGTTACACAATCGGAAGCACGCAGCAACATTAACGATGTCATTAGCGAAACAGCAGCTACAGCGCCATCAGCAGTATTACCCACCCATTTGCCGACAATGTTGGAAACTAGCGCAACAGAAACGTCCCGCCTCGCAACGCCAACAACCAAAGCGGAGATGGTCCGACGAACTGAGGTGCCGCGTACGTGCCTCGACTATGAAACGGAGACCACGTACTTTCTGTCATACAAAGTGAGTGACGAGCTCAGCACGCGTTGTTGTTGCTGCTATTATTATGTTTATAGCGTTCTTATAGTTGTTCTTGTAATTGTTGCCACAGCTCCCATACATACAAGTTGGGTAGTAAGTTTGTGGTTGTTATTTGAAATTCATTTGCAATTATGTGACTTCGATTTGAAATTTCAAGTTTGTCTTGTGGACATATGCTTTGAATTTAATTTCGTTTTCACTTCTCGTCCATTTTTATGCGTGTACTTATATACATTCTTATGTGTAGGCAACCGACGACGGCGGTCAAGGCCAAACATCGGTGGTGCCGCTGCGTATTTCAGTGACCGATGCCAACGATTCACCGCCCGTGTGTGAGAGTCCATTGTACCGCGCCGCTGTTGATGAAGGCGCACACGTGTTCGATTCACCGTTAGTGGTGAAGGCGCGCGATGCTGACACCATTTCGGACATAACCTATCGTATTATCGGTGATGAGCAAATCACAAGTGTTTTCGCCATCGATCGGCGTACCGGCCAGATAACGATACGTCCGAATGCAACACTGGATGTGACTTATCTGAAGCGCGACTATTTGGTTTTCGCCGTCGAAGCGAATGATGGTGCTTTCACTACAAATTGTGGTGTGAATATAACGGTACGGGATGTGAATAATCATGCGCCACGCTTCCTCGCTGAGGAATATTCGGCAGTGGTGGAGGAGAACTCCGAAATCGGCACCAGCGTAGAGAAGCTGCAAGCTGAAGATTTAGATTCAGGCATAAATGCAGAGATCAGGTGGGTTATCGACGATACTAACCGTAATCAAAGTGTCTTAATGTGAAAGGAAGCAATATTTTTGATATAAACATTTAGATTTCCATATGGCACGTACCTTACGATCACATTATGTTATTGCCTATTCAAATTTAAAATAAATTTTGTTTAATTAACTTTACTTCTCACTCTAAAACCCAAATTTTAAAAGCTCACTTGACACTTTTTATTGTAGATACCGCATCGAGCATGGCAGCTTCAATGATTTCCGCATTGACGAGCGTACTGGCGATGTTTTTGTTTCGCGCAAACTGGATTATGACCGTCGCAATACCTATCACATCGAAGTACTCGCAACCGATTTGGGTACACCAAGTCTTTCGGGCACAACTACACTGACGGTAAACATAAACAACAGCAACGATAAAGATCCGTACTTCACGCCGGCAACGCAGCATGCAACGGTGAGTGGTTAATTATGCATAAAATGGCATAACATTTGGAACTCAGATGCATTGAGTTGGCCTTGCAAGTTGTCTTTTGTCTGCCTGTGTACGTATTCCACTAGAAACTAGACGGAAATTGCCAAATAGGCCTATCTTCATTCTTTTCTAGTAATTCCAATTTTCTACTTTTGTTGCGTTTTACTGACAGTAAAATATGATAAAATATTTCTCACTCTTGGTTCTCTATATATTTGTTTACTGGTATTCAGATTGATCTTTGATCCACGGTTATTTATTCAATAAGTTGTCTCATTTAGGAATGAGAACTGTAAAATCGTAAAATTGTGTTTTCTGTTGCTTTTACAGTAGATAGCTTATCTTCATATTAAATTTTTGTAGAAATCTCCGAAAAATTTCTCATTTCTGTAATTTTTGAAGCGAGCACTAACCTGAAACTTAGCCTTTCTTAACTTTTTTTTTATTTTTATCTATTTATTTTATAATTATTATTTATTTCTCATTATTTAATTTTATTCCTCTAGATTCCCGAGGATGCGCCAGTTGGCACTTTGGTTCACACTCTCATCGCACTCGATCCTGATGTGCCCACTTACAGCGCTCTCGAATTTGCTGGCACCGATGTTGTCGCCATCGATAAGGACGGCAAAGAGGTGCCAAATAGTGAACAGTTCAAAGAATACTTTACCATAAATCGCAAGGGGCAGGTGATCGTAAATAAGGCGCTGGATCGTGACCTCTTTGCGGTAAGACAATAAAGTAGAAACTTTAATATTAGAGAATTTGTATGCAATAATTTCTTTATTTTCTTTCAGGTCATAAGAATTAGCGTACTTGTTACGGACAGCACAGCGCCCACTGTGCAACAGGGACGTGGTTTGCTTAATATACAAATCATTGATGTCAACAAAACACCGCCGGTAAGTTAAATTGAACACAATTGTGGGGCAATAAAAAATTTTAAAAAATTTTTTTGTTGTAATTTTTATCAGCTTCCAATTTAAATGAAACTTTCTTTTTTCAAAAATAATTCCGTCTCATTTGTTTCAATATCCGAGTCAGTTCCTTCTACATGGTACATGAGACTTTGATGAAGGTCTGTGTATATGTTGCTAAAAGGAATTGTGAATAATTATAAGACATTTATACAAAATTATATATATGTATATTAGGGTGGGTAAAAAAAAATTCAAATTTTTTTTCGCTTGGTACTATGAAAAATAGGTGTTTTGACACTTCTGAAAAAATCACTCCAAGTATGAGCTTTTAATTGTAGCGGAAAGGTTCTCCGCATTACAATTTTCTTATATTTAAGATAGATATTTAAGATAGAAAAATCAAATCCCACTTCCAACTACTTGAAAAAATGAAATTCTCTACAAAAAAGGTCTCCTAAGATTTTCACGTAAATCTGACCGTTTGAAAGATATTAACGCCTGAAGTTTGTTTATTTAAAGGCAATTTTTTTTTCAGGGTACCAAGCGAAAAAAGTTACTCTGTTTTTTTACCCACCCCAATTTACATATATCTACGTCTATGATAAGTTTTTATATAAATATATATTATTGCTAATTACTCACAGCGCTGATATGCCAACGGTAATTTGTATTATATTTTTTGCCAAAAATATGCTGAATAGAGATATTTTGCATGGCATGCAGTAGCGTATCGTTAAACCACCGACTATTACTTCTAAAGTGGTGAATATTATATTCTCCACGAATTGGGCGTAAATTGATGGAACCAAAAGATCGCCAAATTCCTCCGACAAAATAGGAAATCTACGCAACAAGAGCATATAATATTAAGTTATAGGTATAATATGAGTTATCGACAAATTGTTACAGGGTGGTGCATAGGGTGGATTTACACAACCGTTCACTGGAATTTGTTAAAAAAAAAAAATTTAATTTGGCTGCATCATAGCTATGCCTTCACAGGTGCATTGCCCATACAAGCTATATTTTTAGCTAAATTTGAATACGTAACCGACCAACGGTTTGGATCCAAAGTATTATTTCTAGCCACATTGCTGAATATAAACAATCTTCAAATCGAATTAAGGTCATTTGTTAAGGAATAACGATCCTTTATAAAGATTTTTATCTGGATTTTGACGATCAGTTTGTATTGCAGCTATATGTTCTAGTGTGCCGAACTGAACAGTTTGTTCGGAGATTGAAGCATTGTCTTCGTCAATAATACCTGCCAAATATCGTGTATTATATCTTCTCAAATAAAACAAGTTTTCCATACAAGAACTTAATTTTAATCGATCAGTTTGTATGGCAGCTATATACCATAGTGTCCGATATCGGCGATTACTACAAATGTGCAAAATTTCAGGTCGATATCTCAAAAACTGAGGGACTATCTCGAAAAAAGAAGTATTTTTTATGGGGGTGTATTGCATACTTGACGATCACTTGTGGCTTTACAGATAAGCCGATGAGACAATTATAAAGCTTAAAACGATTTATTTCGCACCACGGAATATCATACCTGACTGTCTCTCAAGGTTTTCAGCGAGCAAGAGTATCATTAACACTATATGCATCACCCTATATATGTACATACATATATTTTTTTAAGACCGTGAAACACCTTCAGTTCCACTTAAATTGATTTATCGACATTTTTAAAAGCAATTTCACATACTCACAATGCTATAATGTTGGCCGCAAGTCCCACATAACCAAAAATGAATTTCGCTAAAATGAGCAGTGATACAAATATCATGTGCAAATGCGATTGTAAAGTGTTGCAACAGGAATTTTCGAGCGCGTTATTAATCTGTAAAAAAAAACAAGTATAACAATGAACTTTCAGCAAAATACACTCACTGTTCTCAAATCCAAGCCAAGTTTACGCGGACTTAATGTGGCCGCTTTATATAATATTGTAAAAACGTTGATAAATAAGATTTTGAATTTTCCATATGGTATATCCGATGCTTCAACAACCGAGTTCATGCCGTTGAGCTGCTATACTTTTGCATAATTTGGTGGAATTTTCGAAATGGAAAATTTTTAAAAAAATTTAGTATATTTTCGTTTTCTTTTTTCATGTTGACACAAACAAATCTACAGTGTTGTAATGCGTATTTTTAAAATTTAAATAATAATTTCAATTTTCAGAAATTCAATCCGCCATGGACCGCCGAAACTCCTGTAATTAAGCTACAAATGATCGAGGAACAGCCAATCGGCTCAGTGTTGACCACACTACAGGCGTATGACGATGACTCAACCATTGGTGAATACAACATATCACCAAATGCATACTTCACCATTAACAAGGCGACAGGTGTGATCACGTCAACAGCGCGCATTGACTATGAAACACTGAAAGAGGTAAAATTCATTGCCACAGTGAGCGATACCGGTGTGCCGTCACTCACATCGACCGCTGAAGTCACCGTGGACATAATCAATTTGAACGATAATGAGCCACACTTTAGCCAATCGGAGTATCACTTCAATGTGACGGAAAATTCACCGCGCGGCACAGTCGCCGGCAAAGTAGAGGCATTCGATGCTGATATTGGCACCTTCGGCGAGATTACTTATACGCTAATTGGCGAGTATAATAAATATTTTAGCATTGATGCCTACACCGGCAGCATAATGGTGGCCGATGCCACGATACTCGATCGTGAGAAGATTAGCGAGATCACTTTGACGGCGTTGGCACAGGACAAAGCGCCGACTACGGTGCAAAAATCAGCAACAGCAGCGGTAAAGACGCACAGAAAATAATATTTATAAATATTTTCCGCTTCTATTTAATACATTTTCATTTTGTCTTTACCTCAGATTCATATCAATGTGCTGGATGTTAATGATAATGCACCAATTTTCACGCAAACTCAATACACCACAACGCTGGCAGAGAATGCCGCCGTTAGTCCGCCGGCTGCATTATTGCAAGTGAAGGCACTCGATGCTGATGAGGGTATATTTGGTGATGTGCGCTATTTCATTGCCGATGGCAATGAGCAAGGACTCTTCCGGCTGGATGCGCAAACCGGCATTATTTATCCAGCGCAAAGTTTGAGCGGCAAGAAGGGTGTGTATGCATTAGAAATTGTCGCACGCGATACACAAGGTTCGGGTACGATGGAGAGTCGTACGAGAGTGCTGATCACAGTTATGGGTGTGAATCATTATCGGCCAGTATTCGTGATACCAGCACTATCGAATGCCACCATCGAGATACCGGGTGTAAGTGAAGATTTCTTTAACATGTATGTTTTACATTACATACTCTGCTTCTTTTTGTTTTTTTTTTAGGATATTGTGCAACAAGATTATCTCCTGATTACCGTTAAGGCAACCGACAATGATACCGATGAGAATGGCGTGCTCTCCTATCATCTACAAGTGAACAACGAAAATGTGCAGGAGAACGATGAATTTCGTATCGATTCAACAACCGGTGAATTGCGCACCAAGCGCGAGTTGAATCGCAAAGAGCGCGCAAAGTACGTAAATGCGTGTTTTGAATTGCCTCTTGCTTCTTCCATTCAACTTATTTTTTTATTTTTATTCCAATTTTTTACCCTTAGCTATGACATCATTTTAGTGGCTCGCGATGCTGGCAATCCAACACCATTTGAAACATTACGCTTCCTTAGCATTAGCATTGTTGACGCTAATGAAAATCGCCCTGAATTTTCGGATGCTGGAAATCCTTATAAAATCTCGATCAAAGAGAATAGTGGTCGAGATGTTAAGATCGGACGCATACAAGCTACAGCGCGTAGTAAACACAATAGGGATGTCTATTATTATTTGTTGTTGGGCAATGAGGACAATGCTTTTGTGGTGGACAAAGCAACTGGCGATATTTACACGAACAAGAGTTTGGACAGGTAAAGGTTTACAGATTCCATTAGGTTTTGGCTCTTAAGATAATTAATTAAGATATCTTGCGTATTGACCGATATATACGAGTACGCTGAAAATTCTAAAATAATTAAAAACAAGCTACGTAAGCAGAGGCACTTCTCAAGGAGGCGTCCTTTCTTCGCTTTTATGGGTGCTGGCGCTGAATAGCATACTACTTCAACTCAATGTAGGAGAAGGAAAACCAATAACTTATGTAGACGACATAGTGTTGATGATGTTTCTTTCCACGAAGGTTACACCTATGGGCTAAGTGTTAACCTTAGTGAAACAGAACTGATGATTCATGATTAAAACAAAAAAACCGCGATTCAATCTTTTCAGTGGTACATCAATTTCTCTGTCCCCCACAACAGAATAACTAAAGGTTGAAATCGATACCAAACTGAATTTAAAGACTAACATTGAAAAACGAATAAATAAAACGTATATCATATAGCCTGTTACACTTGCAAAATATTACTTATAAGGAACTGGGGCCTTAAACCAAATATAGTCCTTTGGATGTTTGGTATCTTTAGACCAATTCTAACTTATGAAACGCTGGGCAGCATTAAAGAAACAATATAATATCAGGAAACTAAATGAAATACAAAGAGCAGCCTGTGCAGGGTTTACCGGGGCAATTAAGGCATGTCCGACCAAGGCACTTAACTGCCCATAGACGTGTATACTTAGAAAGTAGCAGCAAGTGTTGCTATTAAAATTAGGGAATTAGAAGGATGAAGTCGAAAAGATTACGCGCAGAGCGCTATCCTAAACAGCTAAATATAAACAAATCAGACTAATCTTCCAAAGATTAGATTTCAATAGTCACTTTCGGGTGAGTTTAGTAGAGAAGGAGAAGCATTCCTCTATCGATACCGAGAGATCCAATAAGTGGGTAGGGCCATGCGCACTTTTTAAAAGTGGAATTTTGATATGATCGCTTGCGTAGATAGAGGTACAGACATTCATACAGAAGTTCAGAAATCAACTCGTCTCGCCATCCTGATCAGTTTCATATCTATCTCCATTACTTTTAAATGTAACAACAACCGTTGGGTTATTTTATTACCTATATCCTCTTATTTAAGTTATTTTGCAATTTGTTTTCAATTTCAGAGAGGATACCGATTTCTACACACTTTACATTCTTGCAAGCATCAAATCGGATTTACATATATCTGAAGAAGAGCGCGCTTCGTTTTCAATAAAAAGCCTTGAACGTGACAATACTGTGGCGAAAGTGTGGATAACGGTACTCGATGAAAATGACAACCCACCACTATTCGAAAGAGAGGTAAACAATAAACAAATTATATTCATACCATAAATGCATTAACAGTCCGTATAAACATATTTCATAGGTCTACTATGCCGGCGTAAATGCGAAGGCGGCCGTTAACACTGTCATAACCGTTGTAAATGCTACCGATGCCGATGAAGGCAAAAATGCCAAAATCGAGTATATGATTGTTGCTTCAAATCTTTATAAATTTGGCGCCAGCAAGGCAACAGGTTCTATAGTGCCTAGTCCGTTTTGTAAGTATATTGTGCAAATAATATATTTAATTTTGCGGATATTTCACTTATATGTACTATATAATTTTTTTTGTGTATCCAGCAATTTCCGTCGATGGCCGCATCACTACCGCTGCTTTCATGGCTGAATACAATCAAGATCGTTTTGAACTGGAAGTGATTGCGAAAGAATTGGAGCAACCGCAGCAATCGACACGTACCAAAGTCTATGTATGGGTATTTGACTCCACGCAATTAGTGCGCGTAATACTCTCACGTCCCCCCGAGGAGGTGCATCAAGAACAGGAGGAAATAATCGCTGAATTGCGCAATGCAACGCAACATCGCATCATTGTCGATGAGATACGCTATCACGTGGATGCCATGGGCCGCATACGCATGGATTGGTGTGATTTATTTTTCCATGCTGTCGAGCCGCATACGCAACAAATCGCCGCTGTCGATGAGATATTAAAAGTTATCGATGCGAATTATGATTATCTGCGGGTGAGTGGGGGGTGCATTGAAATTTTCTGTATAGCTAAAATTTTAATTTTTCATCTATTTTATTGAGTGTAGGACTATTATGCCGGTTTTGCTATTGAAAATGTTGTGCCTGCCTATATCACTATTGTACAGGATGAATTTGATTTGGCTGTAGCTGGTTTGGTGGCTTTGGTCATTGTGCTCTTTGTGGGCGTCATCAGTTTTATTGTGCTGTGCTGTTGTCTCAAGCATTGGTGTGTAATTTATTTAAACTTTAATTAAACTTACCATGTGTTCATATTAATTTTTTCTTTAGGAACCTCTCCGTGCCCGTAGAAAACCGCCGTAAAGAGGCTTTAATTAAGAAACAAATAATAGAGGACTTGAATACCACAGAGAATCCATTGTGGATAGAACAGTAAGCATATTGAAAAAAATTTTTTAAATGTAAAAATCTAATTCTGATTTTTATTTTATAATTTTAATTCGCAGAAAACTCAAACTTTACGAGGAGCAAGAGTTGACAATGCAGGTCTTCTCTGAGCCCGATCATATTTCGAACTCGGATTCACCGGTATGTGTTATATAGTATTTAATATCTAATTTTTTATTGTTGTTGTTTTTAAAGTACAAAACGTACCACGAATAAAGTTTCATTGGAGACTACTTAGTCGAATATGAATCCAAGAAGTCATGAAAACTGGTTATTTCTCGAGTTCTATGTTGCTGTTGTTGTTGTTGTTGTAAATCTTTTTGCCTAAATGCAATTGCTGTGACAATCCTTCACCGAAAGTATGTTATATATTTGCATAGATCCAACGTTTTATTGCAGCTTTTTATACCCTGAACAATGTACATTAAGTTTGCCACGATGTTTGTAACACCCAAAATGAAACGTCGTAAAAAAATTCAATTAAAAATATAAATTAAATGATCAGTATGATGAGCTAAGTCGATTTATCCATGTCCATCTGCCTGTCTGTCCACCGCGACCTAGGGCCCTAATATACTCGAACTAGTCTCCAATTTTTTGCGATATCGATATCACGCTCTTTTCTCCCCAAGAAATTGCTCATTTGGTGGAACCACCGATATCGGGTCACTATAGTATACAGCTACAATACAAACGGAACAATCGGAATCAAGTGTATGGAAAACTTTTTCATTTGACAAGATATCTTAACCAAATTTGGCATATATTATTGCCCAAGCAACGGTGCACTCTCCAAAGAACTTTTTCTGATCGGATCGCTATAACATACAGCTGTCGTACAAACTTAACAATCGGAATCAAGTCCTTGTATGGACAACTCTTGTATTTGACGAGATATTCTTACAAAATTTGGAATAGAATATTTTCTAAGGCAACGCTATAAAGTCTGATCAAATTTTTCAGATCGAAGCACAATATCATATAGCTATCATACAAACTGTACGATCAAAATCAAGGTTTGTATGGAGACTTCGTCATTTGTGAAGGGTATTCCAGCTTCGGTGTAGCCGTAGTTAACGGTTTTCTTGTTTTATTCTGCTTTAAGTTTATTTCCACTATTTATCTACATAAGTATTGATCACATTATATTATTACAGAAATATTTCGTATGTTTCTTTCAGGCTCAACTGGAGCACCATGTGCCACATCATAATGTTGTTGACAACACCTATGCAACTATACAGCCACGTAACGGTAATCATAGCAATCACGGCTTGAATAGTACAGCTGTGCGCAATGCTGAAAATACGGTTGGTGTTAATATGAGTAATAGCAATGCGCTGGGACGTGTTCACGATGCACATATAAATGAATTTGCTGATTATGCGACATTGCGTAACAATCGAGCGCCATCGGTGAGTTGAAAATTTTAATGAAGTTGAATTAATATTATTTGTCGATATACTATATAATAATAGCTTTAAGTTTCAATAATTTTTATGTTCATACAAATGTTCATCTAACGGTTGTTTGTAATATCCTAAACAATTGGTCAAAACCGTTTACTAAATAACGAACAGTAATTGCCTTGGTAATTTTTTATTATAAAAACTGAAGACATCTCAACATTTTTTGGCGGTCTCAGGATTTATTTTCCTGATTTTCGTGAAAACCCCAACAGTTATTTGTTTATAAAAAATCAAAATTAAAAAAAAGTCCTTCGATCAGGCACTCGTTTTTTATGTTTTCAAAAAGCTGTATAAATTACAATGAAATCTATTGAGCTGCAGTGGTCACCAGTTCAAAAAACATAGCTTTGAGAAACACGAATTTGAAGTTTTGCACTCAGTTCCAGAGCGCTCGCGAACCCTTTGCTAATTATAGAATAACTTGAAAAGTATTTCTCCCTAACCCGTTTATTATTTGTTCCATAAATGTTTGTGGACGTTTTAAATTTTTCCAAGCATCATTCTTTTTTCGTTTCCGCCCGCCCTTGACCCTTCATTACTTATTACCTATTAATATTAATTACCTTTCTCTTTTTATTTTATCTCCCTATAATCTGAAAATTTCTTATATATATATATATTTACAGATGTACGAATTCACTGGGTCCACCTTCCAAGCGCCCATACGTGAGGGTGACGATGCTGTGGCCGAGCTAATTTAAAATTCAACCCATGCCATGTGTAGAAGGACTGTGTATATGTAGATCGTGTAAACGCTGGCATTTACAATTAAAATAACTATTTTTAATTTATTTTGTAAAATACAAATTGGCACGCAATATTACTACCGAACAACTTGACTAGTTTTGAGCAAGATATTGCAGTTTCAAGCAAAATAAAAATAGAAAAATAATTATAGAAAGTAGAGCTACTAACTGACTAAAACAAAAACACAGGTGATGGTTCCGGGTACGTCAAGTATGTGGTAGTCTGGTAGTTATGTGAGAAAGTTCGAAAAAGTAGATGATAACTAGTAGTTATTTACACACACTTTAATTAATAACATCAAATTTAATTTAAAAACAAGCAGACAACAAGTATGTATTATATATATATGTATGTATGTAAGTAAGCTAAGAAATACTCAAGTCAGCTCAGTTGATTATAAATACAACATGTCTACAGTTTGAGCAAATATTTATTAGCTAAGCCAAGAAATTCAAATATGCTAAACGAACAAAGGATATACATAATTAGTTAAAATAATAATTATTATTGTAATGCTACAAAAGTATATAGAAATGAGACAATAAGCGAAAGTTAGATATTGCAACGAAAGAACTAAACTAAACAATTACAGTTAATAGACACCACAGAATTTTATTTTGCTTTCTTTTATTTTATTTTTTTTTTATATTTACATTTTTTTTTTAACTTTTTTACATTAATTTTAATAAATTTTTTATAATTTATTTATATTTTTGCTTATTTAATTTCTTTTTAATTTGTCCTAATTTTTTCCTTGTTTTAATTTTTTCTTTATAAATTTTGTATGTATATATTTTTTGTTTATTAAGTAACAAATAATGAATTAAAATTTTTGGTTGTTTAGTGTGTTCTCAATAAAATGTATGCTGTAACTAGTTAAAATAATAATATGTTTTAGTTAAGTAAATAAATTACTTTTGTTCTAAGTAAACAATATGATTAATGCTAAAAAATATATTACACTATGTAAAAAATAAGCAAACGAAAAACACAATAATATAACATTAATGCTATTAAAGTCGATTACTCATATTCAAACTTTCAACACAAGATAAACATTGAGTTCAATATCAATTTTATTTTTAATTTTTGTGACAAAATATTTTTTCAGCTTTTTTTTTATATAAATACAAATTTATTTACTACAAATGCAAAAAAAAACTAACTAAATTACAATAAAAAAATGTTAATTAATTTTTATAAACAAAAAATAATCAGTTTTTTCTTAAATTTAAATAAATAACATAATATACTATTATTCCAAATCGTAGATATTATGTTTGAGTAAAAATAATATTTTAAATGGTTTCACAAAATTGTTTATGATTTCAAAATGTATTTAATTCTGTAGCATCACATGGTAAACCTGTAAATTTCATATCAAGCAGAAGAAAACTACTAATTTTAAAACGTCTTTAATTTTTTAGTTAATTTTTATATTGAATTGAAGGCTTAAAACTTTTATTTAATAGCTTTGAAGCGATTATTTTGATGTATTATTATTGCCTTTTCAAAATAAGTACATGTAGTGTAAAGCTCAAATTTGGCTATTTCTCACAGCTTCAATTTATTTAACTTATGAAAACTAATTTTCATTCAAAATTTTCTTAACAATTTTTCCGTTTTTTTGTGTTTATTTAGTTTAGCATATTTTTAATTTATATGTGTGCCGTTCTTGCTCAATGTAATTTCACTTCAAGAGTATTGTCATACACACAAACGTACGTAAGAAACAAAAATATATAGATATACATATGCATTATATACTTAGTATATCTAGGCTTTAGCATACTAACATAAATAGATTATTGTATTTGTATTAAAAAAAGTATATATGCATGTATACAAGAAATAAAAGAAATAAATATTATAATCGTACAACTCTGTATGTATGTAATTTAAAGACTTAAAAAAATTATAAAATATTAAATTTGCGTGAAATTATTAAATGTAAAATATCCATTTATATGTCAGTTGCTGCGATAAAAATGAAAATAAATCAAATGTATTTATTTAAAGAAAGATCATTGAATTATACATATTTTTGGTGTTAATAATGCAGTTGGGGGTTTATTTTGACTTTAGAATTAATTTATTGCTTATATAGAACATTGACAATTAAGTCTCGGTGCATTAAAAACATAATATTTGTTTTCATTTATTTATCTATAAAAATCTCTTATAACGGTATATTTACAATCCACCATAGACAGATGATTTTAGATAATGTTGCTTTACTCACCTTAAATGTATGGATTCGGTTAAAAGTACGCGAAAATATGAATAATTAAATATTAGATTAAATTTTAGAGTTCGCAAAATGTGAGTAGATTCGAATTCACTGTAAGTATTTAAATATTTAAGTATATTTGTTCAATTATCTGAGTTAGGTCAGTGAAATCATTAAGCATTTAACTCCGGAGCCAGAGACACATGGCAACAACATCAACAAAAGCAAAAAAGACGTAAACTTCGGTTGCACCGAATCTATAATACCCTTCACAAATAATAAAAGTTTCATACAACAACTTGATTTAGATCCGTCAGTTTGGCAGCGATATGCTATAGCGGCAAGGATGCTATGTCATCCGACCTCAACAATTTTTTTGGAGAATATACCGTTGCTTTTCGCAATAATCATGTCAAATTTTGTGATACAAAAAAAAATGTCCTTATATAAACTGAATTTTCTTTACAAAATGTTATCGATAGCAATCGCCAAATGAAAGATATATCGAGCAACTGAACAGAGTTATCTCTTTGGTAACAGTAAAAATACAAGTCAGTAAAGCTGCCGACTTGTGAAGTAATTATAAAAATATAATATTTGACATGGATACAACCCTGTATAGTTTTTTTTAGCAATTGGCATTTTTTCGACTATAAAATATTTCAAGTAACATGTTGCTCTATAAAATGCAACCCTGTCGAATGATAGCTTTTGACAACTACAATCTATTACAATTTCAGATGTAAACAGCCGGTAGTCAACAACACAACTTGATTTCCTATTAAGAAAATAATTAACTCTCTTTCGATTTCTGTTTACTTGCCCATTAAAAGTAATAATATAAAAAAATGAAGCAAAAACGCAAGCATTCCGATACGGTGGACCCAAATAGCAAACAAAATCCACATACTGTGACTGTGGCGCAAATCAGTGCAGACATTATATGGCAGGTAAGTTTTGTTGTAACAATAATTTTAAACGTTTACAAATCTTGTGCACGCATTTTGTAGCTTGCATCACAATACTGGTCCCCAGAGACTCCAGCAGAGGATCTCCTGCCTTATAATGGCAATATTATCGATGATATATATAGTCGTGAAATTTTGGATCATAAATCAGCGACACGTCGCATTATGATGCTGGAATTCAGTCAGTACTTGGAGAAATATTTGTGGCCTAATTATAAACGCGAAACAGCTACGCATGCTCATATAATGTCTATTGTGGCTATGGTCAATGAGAAGTTCCGCGAACGAGTAGAAGTTTGGCCATTATTCGAAGCTAAACCGGAGGAGTTCCCCGCTTTCTTTAGACATGTGCTGGAAACATGCTTACCCGCCGATGATAGTAGGGGCAGGCGTGCGACAATGCGTGAGAAAACTACGTTACTTGTATTTCTCAATCATTGTTTTAATAGCATGGAAATTGAGTTATGTCGCGAACAGGCCAAACGTTTAGTATCGCTGTCAATGTGGAGTTGTCTGCAGCCCAGTGAGTATATAATTGGTTTTTATTGTGAAAAAAACTTAGATTTTTGTATATTGAAATTCTCTCCAGAGCGCTTGGAGCAAGAGCTACGTGAGGTGCCGGAATGGCGAAAATTTTGGCGGCGTTTGCAGAAGAAAGAAAAAGGCAATGTAAAACCAGAAGTTGAATGGGAAAGACATTTTTTGCAGGTAAGTTTTAATTAAATGTTCGTCTTTTGCAACATATGTTAAATCATATTGCTTCATTAAACTTTACAGAATTTAATTATACAATTTTTGAGTATATTGGAAACGATACCGTTAGAGGGTGATGTTCAACCAAATGTTGTTGCATATTGTGAACGTTTTTTGGAATTCATTATCGATTTGGAAGCATTACTGCCTACACGTCGCTTCTTTAATACAGTATTAGATGATGCCCACCTATTGGTGCGCGCGCAAATCTGTAATTTAGTGCAACGTGAAGAAGGAAAGCTGTTCGGTCAGGTGAGTCATAAGTGAAATTCTAACTAGCTATAATCTTTTAAACAGGGTGTATACACACTTGTTAGCTAAAAATTAGTTCTTAGTGCGGATAGTGTTCTACTTCCCTAGACTATAGAATCTGAACTGAAATTCTAATTTTTCAATATTATTATTCCCTGAACAGGGTCGGAGACTCTATAAAAATTATCTCCATGACTATTTGATTCGATTTAGGCATGACCTTCTGTCTATATACGTAAACTAATCCCTCAGTTTTTGAGGAATCGATATTAATTTTGCACACGTCCTTTTTCTTCGCAAAAAGCTGCTTCCTTGTCGGAACTGCCGATATTGGACAACTATAGCATATAGCTGCCATATAAACTGATGAATCAAAATCCAGTTTTTGTATAGAAACTTTTTTATTTGTGAACCGAAGTTAACGTTTTTTTTGTTAGTAGATGTTTTTGCTCATACAAAAACAACTAAAACAACATTGATTATTTCGAAACGCACTATATCAAAAACGCCAGAAATGTATATGAGTTAAATTGTTTATTTTTTATATGCTTGGAAATTAGATTTTGTACTATCGTAATGATAGGTAATCAAACTGCTGCTTTGCTTAGTTTAATTTGTTGTTGTTGTTTATGTAGCAGCAGAAAATATTTTCTCAGCGTTTACAGTCTTGGACTATAGTGAAACCCTGTTTATTTTTTCTAACCCATAGCAGTTAACCTCAAAATTCTAATTATAACAACAGCAAAAACTCAAGTGTAAGCTGATTTATGTTTCGGCAATCCTTGTGCAGCCTACAAACTACTTAATTATGCAAGAAATTTTAGGCAGTCAACTTATAGCTTAGTTTTATTAAAATTACTTAAACTACGTTAGTTTAAAGTCTTCTCACATAGTTTTAGTATTATTTATAATTTCGAGAAATATTAAAATTTTCAATGCTTAAGTACACTTCTTAGGCGTTTAATGAGTTATCTGCATGTAATTTCGAAATTTGAATATCGCGTACAATGTGATACAGTTATAAAAATATTAAAATTAATGAGAGTTCCCTTATTATTGGTATAGTGTTGTACAATTGTATTGATTTACTCAATCTTACAACTAAACATTTGATCAGACTCCAGAGTTTAACAGCAAAACACCAATACACACAAATTTCCAAGGCATTCCCTTGAATCCACTTAAACCGTCGTGTGCCGGTACACAATCACTGACACGATTGGTATGCCATCGGGAAATATGCACGTTGACTGCTGTGTCAACGTTGGTTGCGTTTGTTTGGGCGCGTTCTTAACGCGCGCCTTATCTCAGTAATCATTACAATTCATATAATGCAATTCATCGCCCCAATCATTGGCCGATGGCGGTTCATTATAGCAGCATGACTTTTTCAACAGGAATGTAACTTGTTTCTGACGCAATACACATATATAGAGTAGCAGCGGCGCCTGCGCAGCATTGACTAGTATGTGCGCGTAGAGTAGGCCTTCATAAGGCATTAGCGAAAGCACAAAGAAGAGCCACGCAATCGACATGATTAGCAGCATCCAAGAGAACATGATGAAACTGCAAAGCAAAAAGGTTGTTAATTAGTATATTTGTGCATCAATCGCGTCATCCTTGCACTCACTTCGCACGCAGCTTATGCTGTATGCGTCCATAGACATTTCGGCGATTGATAAGCTTCAATGTGGTCACATAGAAGAAGATATTGATTAGTATTAGGCATGCGATGGGCGCAAAAAATATCCAAATGCCCAGCCAACCGATTGTCTGCTGATCGCCTATAACATTTTGTTCCTTATACGAATCGGCGTCGAGAAAGAAATGCGCAAATACCGCCAAAGCAGCCATTAGCGCTGTCAAGCCCCAAGCATATGCGGAATAATAACAATATTTGCGTCCATCGGTGACACGCAGAAAGACATTACGTGAACGGAATGTCTTCCAAATATAATAACCGAAGCTATTGAGCCAAAAGAACGCACCCAGCAAGCTGATGTACAGTATTATATCTGCAAAAAAAGATGAATTGGTAAAACTTTGTTAAAAATGCAAAAATTGTGCACTTGATTACCTGCTACAATGAAGCTGACGTGGTTCGAGAACTCCGTGAAGATGCGCACAAAATCCGCCGCTTGCACCGTCATCAAACAAACCGCTATGGTGGTTATAATGTTGCCTACCAGATCACTGTTGTGTGTGGAAATGTCAAACAATAATTTTTAGTGCATTTTTTGTTGGAATATTTTTATTTTACTTACCGCAATGTAGGCAGTATAAAGTAGATAATCGATATGAGCAATAAAAGTATTAAGGATATGCCATGCAAAATGGGATTTATTACTTTGCGCAGTAAAAATGTTGTATCCGACCATTTAATTTCTCTTTTTGCCAAACAAATGTTCGCATAGAGCACTTGTTTATGCTGACCCGTTGTTGAAATGGCCTAAAAAGAAGAGAAAATAGGGAAAATTAGGAATTATTAAAATTATCAAAAGGATTTTATAAGATTATTACGTAAGGTCTAGTAAAAAGAAATCCATTATTTTTGCATTAAATTGTGGGCTCTATTTAGCCTAGTTAGAATGATCCGATTTACTTAAATAACGTTATAACCGTTTTGTTAGATAACTTGTTGTCATTTTGAGGGAAATTTCATAATTTCGGATTTTTATGCGGCTAAGGACTGTCAACTCGAAATTACTTCAGGAATGTTTTTTGCCGCTACAACAATAACAACAGCAACAACAGCTTCTGCTATCTTGTTCATAGTAGATCATTTTCACCAAAACAATAAAAACTTTACTGAACGTAAATAGTCCTTTTTTAAGTGGTTCCAAACAGATTTTGGTCAGAATCGACGATTTCCCTTATTTGATCGATATTTTCGACATTTGGTCTTCCAAAGCGTGGTGCATCTGAATCAAGCAATCAGAATAAATACCTGAAAAGTTGTTTAAGTTCGAACTCTTACCTTTCGAACGCCACGATCGCACTTTTACAACGCGAGTTACAGGTTACTAAGGCATTGATCTCATAAATAGTTGGTTTCTTTTTACTTGAACTTACATATATAATTCGTGTTGTGCTATGATTAATTGAAGATACTTTTTAATTATTTTTTAATTTTTGAAGAGCTTTACGATACCCGTTACTCAACTTTCTCTTTATTTTTTACTTTCTTCTCGATAGAACTGTTGCTTTGTTGTTTAGTATTGATAACTTTGGGGTAAATCTGGGTCTTTTGTATTTCTGAGAATGTTTAGCGTTGAGCTAGCCTAGCAAGTGTTGATCTAACAAGAATATTTGAAAGGTAGCAAGGTCAAGAAATTCCCAAAACCGCACTTCTCGACAAAAGAGGTAGACTGTTTCCTCTGTAAAGTCGCGTTTATATAACTGGAACAGATCTGAATTTATATTCGACAATAACTTTCAACTCAGCCGTCTCCCTCAAATTATCTGTGATACTATAACTAAAATAAAAGAGAAGGTTACTAGCCAGTCTTATTGAGAAGATTACAAGTCATAGAGAAGACAATAGCGGACGATATGTTCGAATCCAGTTGAAATCCAAGACAAAACAAGGTACTTTCATAGTTCACATAAAAAAAATAAAAAAATTTCTCTAGAATATCGCACCTCCGAGAGTAATTCTACTATTAAAAGTATTCACAGAATCCTAGAATTATATTCCTAATCTGATTTAACCTAACATTTCAAGTTGTCATAATTTAATTAATGTCGTTACCAACATGAAATTTTTACAACCGATTTACTCACCTTATCTATGCAATATTGCCCCGCCGCATAATCATGAAAGAGTGACTTTCGTTCATCATCCAAGTCTGCATCGTAATCTGTGTGCTCGTAGAGCTCATCTTCTTCTTCATTAGAGTTAGTGTAATGGCGTAATTTGCCATCATCCAAAAGCACCAGCTGATCAGCGCTCTGCAGAAAATAAATATATATATATATATATACATAAGTATGTGTGTATGTGGTCGTTGCACCGCTGTAACTCCACTCCAAACACTCAATTACTTAAGTATTCAATTTCATAACAATGAATGAATGGCTAGAGCTTAAGTAACTAAATAAAGTGTTAGCGTATACTTACACCTTGGTAATGATATATGGGCCATGACTGCATCGTGCCACAAGCCGGTATGCCAATAACGAACTTGAATTTCACCGGTACATTGTGTATACCCTGATAGTTGGTAAACATGGGTTGGAAGTACTCTGCAAGTGTAGAAACATTAAGTGGAATGTGATGAAAAACTTTACATATACCTACATACATATGTATGCCAGTGTATGTGTAGCTGTGTCTGTTTAGTGTTTTGTACTATAAAATATTTTAAGCTGTTAAACACCTTTTTAGTGACAATTAGAAAAAAAAAAAAAATAATAATTATAACAACTAAATTCGCACATATCATGCCTGTTTTGCTGGCCAAAGTTGTTTTGCTGCCTCGCCGCATACATTTATTCGACCAAAATGGCAATAGCTGCACAGTTATCTACAAATATCGCAACTGCCCCGATCATTGAAATTGTATTTATATACAGTGGCATAGAAGTCAGCAGAAGATTTACTACTTTTATGCACTTTAGAAGTTGTACAGTGGGTATAACAAGTAATCGTAATTTTGTTTCTATAAATGTTAAATGTTATATAATAACGTGGTTGCGTAAATAATACATTTATAACAAAATTTTTGATAAATTTAAGATTTTATTATACATAATTTGATATTACAAAAAAATGATTTAAAAAATAATAATAAAACTTTTCAGAAGTAATCGTTTGGAAGCAAAATGAGACTTATATTCGTAAATATTGTCAGATATAATAGTAGAAAATTTTATAAAGATAAAGTTTTGTAAAATCCGTTATATAAATATTATATATGTGTATAGCTTGATACCATAATCAAAAGCATCGCTTCAAAAAAGTTGTTCTAATCGGACTAATAGAATATAGCTGTCATACAAACAGACCAAACCAAATCAAGTTCTTGTATGGACATTTTTTATATGTGTAGAATATTTTAGCTTTGGTGCAGCCAAAGTTAACCTTTTTTCTTGTTTTATCATCAAAAATCTAAACTAAGACTAATTTTTATGTCAGTTGCATGTCAAACTATTAATAAAACTTGTATATGATGCTTTTCCGTGACCGAAACGTGCTCGTAAGTGTCAGGTTACTTGTTGTATGTCGCTCATAATTGGGTTAAAATACATTTTCCGTTAAGTTAGATTTCATTATAACTGTTATTTTTTACTTTATTATTTCTAAAATTTGAAGCAATGACTCATAACCGCATAACAGTTGCTCATCTTGTTGTTGTACAGTTACTAAAGAAATTTCAGAACTTTGACAGTTAGTTGCCCACGTTTTAGCTTATGTCGTTTCATCGCTGCTTGTTTATATTAATTTAAAGTTTACAATTTATATTACTTTTTAGAATTGATTATTATTTTTTATAATTTTCAAATAAATTTTCTATTTAACCTCTTCAAGCTTCAAGGAAAAAAATTCGAAGACATTTTTAGTTATTCAAGTCATATTATTTCAACTCATTATTTAAAAAATATTTAACCAATTATAAATTCGATCTGCCGTCGTGATACTTTTCTCTACCACGGTAAGCGCTCCTCTAACTTGCCTGCCAAATGAGGAAGCAAACAATTACGGTATACAGTAAAATGAGCACAATAAACGGTGCGATGTGCGTTCTCATGCAATGGCCTATATATGTACAAGTATATGTATATGCAACTATAGCCAGGAACAGCATGCAGCCAAATAAGCTGTCTACTGCATTTCATCAATTAAATTCATTTTCTTATTCCTGTTTTTCATATATTTACAGCGAATTGCAATTGCAGCCAAAAACGAGCTGCCTGATGAGTTGATTAATGGCTGCTGCTTTATTGTTGTTGCTTTTTTAGATTTATTTTATTTTATTGTGCAATTGCACTGCTACTCCTTGATTGGTGGGCATGAGATGAGGCAACTTCTCAACTCATGCCATCTTTCATAGTTTTTGTGATCACTCGTTATTATTGTTGTTGTTGTTAATGATTGTTTATTTGCAATATTATTAGCAGCACGCGAATTTCTATGCCGAGACAAAGAAAAGCGATTATAAAGTGATACATCTGCCGGTCGATCAGTGACCACTGGTCAAACACACGCCATTTCCTTATTTGTGCCGCTTATATGGTTCTGTTTATTTATTCCTCTGTGTGTATTGGTGACGACGTCTGCATTTTCTTTGTTTATCCGCAGATCATTCGATCTGGTGCAAGACAATTAATACATTTGCTTTTTCGCAGGCTGAGCGAAATTGCTCATATCTGCAGATAATTATTTATATATTTATAAGTATATAGAATATTGCTTGTAAAACAGTTCATGGTAATGAGATAACGGCAACATGTATTTTATAAGATCGTTCCATAGTTACAAGGATCGGTCAGTGATTTCCGATCAAGCATCTTGCCTTGTCACATGAGTAATCCTACATATTTGGAGACATTTCCAAATGCTTGAGATATGTTTTTGATAATATTTTAATTGCCATAAATATATTCTGAATATTTCCTTACTTCATAAAAATTGGAATAGTGTTATCTTCTTCAATATGGGTTTTTAAGAGAAGTAAATTCTTAGTTAGCCCATTATTTCCGCCATAAAAAAATTGTTTTATGCTGAAATGGTCACTTCGCAGGCTTTGAAGTGCTTTCACAAGAAGAAAACTTGTGAGCTTCCACTATAGGCCGCTTCGTGGGTTTTTGAAAAGCTTCCACAAAACTGAAGCTTTTGAGAATTCACTATCGGTATACTGCGGTTGCAGAAAAGCTTTCACATAAAAAAAAATATAAAATTCCATTTTGATTTCTACTTTAAAGAGCTTTAGAAAATCGTACAAGCTTTCACTGTATAAGCAGGAAAGAAAGCTCTAAAACCAATATTAATTTTTATACCCTGAACAAAGTATATTAATTTTGCCACGCAAGCTAGTCCCTCAGTTTTTAAGATATCGATCCGAAATTATGCAAACGTGCTTTTCTTCCCAAGAAGTTGCTCATTTGTGGGAACCACCGATATCGGACCACTATATCATATAACTGCCATACAAACTCAATTGATCAGAATCAAGTGTTTGTATGGAAAGCTTTTTCATTTTACCAAGTAAATGACTACTATAGCATATATTGTATATAGCTGTCGTACAATTTGAACGATCGGAATCAAGTTCCTGTAAGGAATATTTTGTGTATGTGTAGGGTATTATAGCTTCAGTGCAACCGAAGTTACAGTTTTTTCTCGTTATTCATACTTTTTTTTTAGTTAACACAATTGGGCGAGCAAGGATATACTCGTAGATATTTTGTATACATACTTGTATGTATGTATTATTACTAATATTTTATAATTATTTTTGGGCTGCCATAGTTATTCCTAAATTCATTTAATCCAATTTGGAGCGATTTCAAGCTATTATGCGGATCGATTAATGACCTCAAGAGTAGAGCGTTTTCCTACTTGGGTTTTCCTTTTTTTATAGTTCTGTGCCACTCAAATAAACACCCTTTATATGCGTTATAATTAAGTTGCTATTTTTGTTATATTTGTTTTTTGTTGCTTATTTTTATACATACATACATAATTGCATTGCTGATATGAATATGCAAATTACTCAGAATTAATACTTGTACAATGACTAATACTCGATTTAAAGCGGTTATATTGTAAATCGAACTGTTTTGAATAAGACTTGACTTAAGTTTTTTGCTTAATTCCACTCAAATTACGGAGCCTTTGTGGTTTTAAAAATGCAATTGCACATTTTTTTAAATTTAAATAAGTGCTGAATTATTCTATCACCTATTTTTATCAAGGTATTTTTATATTAAAAAGTAAACAATAAATATAAGATAACTAAAGTATTTTCTAAGAACATTGATAAATTATTTATACAGACGTCAGCAACATGCATGCATGCAACGCATTCAGCTTTTATAAGTTTCTTTGTATACCCTGAACAGGGTATTTACGCAAACTAGCCCTCAGTTTTTGAGATATCGATCTTAATACGTCCTTTTCTCACCAAGAAGTTGTTCCTTTGTCGGAACCGCCGATATCGGACTACTATAGCAGACTTATGTAGCTACCGTACAAACTGACTGATCCAAATCAGTGCCTTGTATGGAAAACTGTTTTATTTGTCAAAATATCTTTGCGTATTTGGTATATCTTATTATCCAGGACAACGTTACAATCTCCGAACAAGTTGTTGAGATCGGACTATTATATCATATAGCTGCTAAAATAAAGTTGGCCAGATAAATTGTTTTCTATTTTAAGGTGGACTGTAAGTCTTTCCACTTTCTGATTCTGTCCATATAAATAGATTTGTAATATCAAACACAAGAAGTCGACATAAAATATGAAAAATTCACTTAATTTTCTCTCTCCAGCGTCAGAGTAGTAACATCATTTTATTGAAATCAAACTTTATTCCACTCAAATAGAAATTAAGTGAGCAGTACTCGGTTGATATTTACTGTTATGCTTCACACAATTTTTAGAAATTAGCACACATTCATGCATGAGTCAGTAATTCCAAATACCGAGGCAGATTGAATTACAAGTAGATTAACACATTATTGGATGTACCATGGGCATTAGGGTGGTGCTTAATTGCTGAAAATAATCTATATATTTGATTTTAAAACTGCAAGCACTAAGTTTTTTTTTAGTAGTAGTGGCTATAATTGTCGAAAATGTCGAGGTTGAATCAACTTCTATTCTATCCCTCGACAACTTAGTTCTAACTCCTCTAACCGTGTAGGTAAATTATGTGTAATTATCTGGTATCGAAACAGACCCTGAACAGGGTATATTCAGTTTGCCACGAGCTGAATCGATTCAACCATGTCCGTCTGTCTGTCTGTCTTTATATATACGATCTAGTCCCTCAGTTTTAGAGATAGCAGTCTGAAATTTTGCATCTGTCTTTTCTCACCAAGAGGATGCTCATTTGTCAAAACGGCTGATATCGGACAACTATAGCGTATAGCTGCCATACAAACTGAATCAAGTTCTTCTAAGGAACCTTTTGTGTTTGTGAGGGATATTATAGCTTCAGTGCAGCTGAAGTTAAAGTGTTTTCTTGTTTGAACTCACAAAGTGCTTGATTTATATTTATCAATCGGAAAGCAGAATGCAAAACTAGCCCAGTACTAAGTTTTATCAATCGCCATCAATATAATCATTATTTAAGCCATCAATTGAAAGCATAATATATGTATATCTAGTCCAATAGGGTTGCTGACACAAAAGAAAAGTTAAATTCAGCTTATAAGTACCACTATAATATACGTAGTACCTCTATTGATATGCAAAAATATATGGAACTCTGCATTAAAATGTTTCGTTACGCACTGTTTATCACATACATTTTTATGGAGATGGTACTATACATTTCTTTAATTCTAATAAATTGCACTTGCCTCTATTTACGCTACGCGTTAAGAAATCTGACAGATATTATACTTCTTCTATCCGCTGTGAATAGCTGTGAAGCACGTTTTATTGCCATCAACTCCACTGTTTAGTTTGTAATTCGCTCTCTTATTTAATAAAATTAACAAATTGAGGTCGCGTAACGGCATTGTGGCTCACCAATGCTACCTACCACCCACAAATGCATATAGTTGTGTGTGTTTGTATGATTCCCTGAAATTGTCCTTTAGGGAAATCTATTGTTGTCGAACTTGATGCCCAATGTAACGCGGTGCATTCATCCGCTTGTCACTTAACCGAAGCTTGCGGTTGTAAACAATTTCTGCTGCAAAATTTAGTCAACACCGTGGCTGTGTTTCGGACAATGTTTGGCTGCAGCATAACTTTTTTAGGTCAGCGACACCTCGCTTGTTAAAAGCAACACTAAGATCATTTATATTAGATTCTTTAAAGGGTTTATACATAAATACGGTATTTTGCCTTCAATAATACCTTCCTAATATCTTCTACAGAAGTTTTGGGTAGTGTATGCCAGGAAATTAGATGATATAGTTACAGCTTACACTTTTAGACGAGACGCATATCAGATTGAGTTATATTCTTTTAATCATAGTATATAACTTTGACGATAGTGAAAATTTATTTTAATAGCCAAGCAAAAAATTTCATTCAGAAATCTATCTGGCAACCCTTCGACCTCCTCGATACAACATTGTAAACATTGTTAGTTAGTGGCGGCAACTTACATGCTCCCAGGGAAGAGGTTCTCTTAACAAAGTCCATATGATTACTTACTGCATTCTCTATCCTCTTTGTAACTCAGAAACATTGAAAGTGTACTGAACTAGCCAAATTTAAGATTACTGACTGTTGTTTAAATACACGGTTTTAGACTTTCTTTACTCGTTCAAAAAATTTCTTTACAAAACTATGGATCTGAACTATTGTGGTAATACACCACAAGAAAATGCGTCTATGTGTGGTAGTGAATAATGTTACATCTTTAATATTCAATTATCCGTTGTCTACTACAGTGCTTAGAGGAGGCTTTCGGATGTGCCACAAATTTATTAATTTAGAATTGTGTTGTTTTTCTTATATTTCAGTGCTATTATTCGGTGGGTAGATTTTTTGTAATAAGTTTTGAAATTTGATAGAATAATCATGAGCTTGGGGACGCCCACACAAGCGTATGCCGAACACAAGGAAATCAAATATTTACCCTAATTGAATAAATTAAAACATATTGATACATACATACATATAAAATATAGGTATGTCCGCATATACAGGTTGGTTGGAAAGTTTCTGCGTTCGAAATGTAAAAAAATACTGTTTTTGGTATAAAAAAAAAGTTTTTAATGAACATAATCTCCGTTAATTTCAACACACTTATTCCAAAGATCCTCCATTAATTTTATGCCATCACTCTAATGACTCTCCGGTAGCTCTGCAATAACCCGTCCATGGCTGCAATCGCTTTTTCACTCGACGAAAAATGCTTTCCACGAAGGAATCGTTTCAAGTTTCTGAAAAGGTAGTAGTCGCTGGGAGCCAAGTCTGATGAATACGGTGGATGTTCAAGCAATTCGTTATTTAATTCGTTGAATTTTGTCATTGATGTAACACTTTTGTGAGCAGGTGCCTTGATGAAAACTTATTAATTTATGCTGCAAACCAGGTCTTTTCTCACGAATTTTTTCATCTAGCTGATCCAATAATTCCAAAATAATATTCAGAGTTGATTGTTTTACCTATCTGCAGATAATCAATCAATAAAATTCTATTTGCATCCCAAAAAACTGATGGCATAACCTTCTTTGCTGATCGTTGTGACTTCACCTGCTTTGAAGCTGAATAACCAGCTTCAGTCCACTGTAAACGTTTTTGTTTTAATTTAGGTTCGTGGTGGTAGATCCAAGTCTCATCCATAGTTATAAAACGACGCAAGAAATCGGTTTTATTCTGCTTAAAACGCTCTAAATTGTGCTGAGAAATTTGTTTTCGATCCAGTTTTTGTTGAATTGCAGCACTAACTTTCCAAACAGGTTTTTCATTTGTAATTCTCCATGTAAAATACGAAATACTCGTTCGTCTGAGATGCCTATGGCACTAACATTTTCACGTTAAGTAAAACTTGGATCTTCACTAACAATATTATGAACTTGCGCAATGATTTCTGGTGTGAAAATTCAACGGTGCGTGTTAAAGGTGAGAACTCCTTATACACTTCTAACAATTGTTCATAAATTTCCTTTGCTTTTAAACCTTTCAAAGCAAAGAATCTAATCACTGTGCGATATTAAATTTGTTCCATATTAAAAAAATTCTCTGACACGTCAACTTCAAATGACTTGTAAACAAATAATTAATTGACAGAATGACTTGTAACTTTGCATGTGTTCTCACGACAGATGTACCAACTTGAGAAAAAAAATTGAAGCTAGTAGTGCTATTTCTTGGTGAGCACTACTCACTTTTCAACCAAACTGTACACACGAAGTAAATAAAACAGGCATACGGTAAATAAAATATATATACAAATAATCGGCGTGACGAGCTGAGTCGATTTAGCCGTGTCCGTCTCTATACACGCGAATCATTTTTTGAAATATCGATCTGAAATGCATACGTCCTTTTTTCCTCAAGAATCAGCTCATTTGCCGGAACCGCCGTGTACGGACAACTATAGCATATATGTACATATGTAGCTGCCATACAAACTAACCGATCCAACTCAAGTCCTTGTATGGAAAACTTTTTTATTTAGCAAGGTATCTTTACGAAATTTGGCAACGATTATTACCCTAGTCGTTGCTACAAGCTCTATAGAATTAAACTACTTAGCTAAACTTTTATTGATCAATCAAGAACGTTCGAATCTAAGTCTCTCTAGATAAAAGGTTGACACAAAATTGAAAAGGTCCATTTCATTACATTTTTCTTATGTATGTATATTTTAACCGAATATGATTCATATGGTACTCGTAAGCTGAGGCTTGGCTCATTCGAGCACGTTCTTCTTATAAGTTTTCTCTTACCTTCACATTTACGTCAAGACCCGAAAAGTCAAATATCACTTTAAGGAAAACGACTTTAACTGAAGGTTTAATTAAGGTTGATAATGGCTGCTGCTATAACAGAGAATGTTAAGTGAGTGCTCTTATTCGGTGCGTAGTTGGCTCAAATCAAAAAGTCCGTCGTCATTTATGACATTAAAATTCTTTTTATAAAACTCGTCGTATGTATGCGGTTTTATAGTTTGTGAGGACTCTATCGGTTTTTGCTTACATAGGTAGAAGTTGCGGTCAGTAGTCAGACCAGAAGTACGAGCGCCTAAATATAGTTCTCAAGTTCCACTTAATTACATCTGAAATTATTTTTCCTTGAAAAGTAGTTTTACTGTTGGCTCATATTCTCTAGTTGAGCTACTGTTGAGAACCAACTTTTAAAGATTTGTACTGTATGTTAGTTCTCCAAATAGAGCCCTAAATATACTCAAGCCTAAGCATATAGAAGCAGATAAATTTGCACATAATAACAGCATATATATAAAATCCAATTGTTATTGCACAATTTCTAACGGCATCATCACGTGCAGCGCAACCAAAGGTTCGAATGCAATTCATAACCGGTTTTAACGCTATCACGCAACCCCTACCATTTAATTGACTTTTTTTCAGCATTTGACTCGATTTTATTTCTATATAATATAATTTGTTGCGCGTTTAAATAATTGCACAAAAAAAAGTACATTTTTTCTTGCCTTACCACTCTCATTGACCTGCGTGCAAAGGCCGTCCACATGAATTTCGAATTTTTCACAGCATTTATATACAAAAACCAGATTCGCGTCGTCCGTGTCGGCATTGTTGTCCTTAACGATCGCGGTCGTGTGCCGCCGCTGCAATGGGCGTGACCGGACAGGCGCGTAAGCTAAACTTTCATTGCTGCCAACACCGCCGGCGCAACAGTTGCACACGGCGCAGACTAGAAGTAGAAGTGTGGCATGGATCAGATGCCGATTAAATGCAAATAACGGTGGAAGATTGTAATTGTTGCGGTGGTTATGCTTCATATTTTTACTAAACTGATTATGATTCTTTTTATGCTGATAATTATTATCATTATTTTGTTGATAATTATGACTGCAACAGCTGATGGATTGCGGCGTGTGGCAGCTGCGTTTGCGCTCACTGTTTGCGGCGTTAAAATGCATATCGGTGGTTGTGTTCGTTGCTGCTGACTTTGAAGATAGTGCTGTTTCTGTTGTGGTGGTTGTTGCTAATGTTGTTGTTGTTGTTGTTGCTTTTGCTGCAGCCATTCTTGTCACTAACTCTATCATATTATTATGCTCTCTATTTGCCTACTTGCCAACAGCGCAATGCGTTCCACTAATATTTTTCTTAATAAGGATATATTTATGTACATATATAAGTACTTGTATATGTGTGTAAATGTTATATATATATATATATATATATATATATATATTTGATCTGTCTACTTTGTGTTTGTAAAACGATCTCTTTCCCAGCGACAACACAGACTGTCAGTTACGAAATATTTAAAAGGAAATGCGAAAAAAAATTATTATTTGTTGTTTTTGCTCTTACGTCTTCTTATTAGCTAGTTTTTATACACTTCCATATATACATATGTAGCTGTATGTATGTATATATGTATATACATATGTATTTATATAAAAAATGCTTAATGAACTCGCTGTCTCTCGCTTAGTACACTGGAACATACATATGGTACATAAGTTCGCGTCATAAGCGTTTATACGTTTTCGCTGTGTGTGCACCGATTCACCTTGCTACGTCATCGACAAAAGCCGGTTTGTTATTAGTAAGCGTGCAGGCGGTTTTTAGAACTATCTATGTACATATGTATTTATGTATGTACCAACAAATAACACACAGCAGGCAATTGAATGTCGCCACCAATTTGTTGACTGCTAACTTTTTACACGCTTCTGTATGCAGGTATGTGTGTTTTTGGCGTTTTTCTTATTTTGCGTTTCCTTTTTATGCACCTTACACATTTGAAATATTCTAGTATTATTATTATATTTTGAAATCCTTTTTTTATTTTCAAGAAATAAAAATAAAGAAATATGTTTTAGTTTAAAAAAATTTTGAGTTAATTTTTTTAACTTTTAGTTATTAATTATATTTGTTTCCACTTTAATCGCACTTCTTGCTCCAAAAAAATATATATTTCTTATTATCTTTTGCCTCGAGCACATTAAAATATCCAAATCCACCGAAATTGGCGCAGTTTTCCTGCAGACTTAGCGCCTTATTTATTTCACACATATATACATATGCTGCAAGTAATTTATTTATATTTCGAAAAACCCGCAATTTTTCACATACAATTCCCGCTATAGGTAAAGTCATCCGCGCTGACAACACAAAATATCTTTTACCCGACACTCAACAATTTGCATATAACACACTCGTTTTCCGGCACATATTTACTCATACATCGCCATATACCTACTTTTGTCTGTATGTATGTACAGAAAAAATAGTGTTGAATAAAAAAAGGTAAAAAAAAAAGCATTAGTTGCTTTTAAACAAATATATGTAATTATTCAATGGCGTCACGTTCACCAGCTCGCACCGTGATATAACTCTCTCCAGGAACGTCAACAGTCGACTGACTGGCGTTTGGCTTTGGTGAGCGTGTTTCAAGCATTGACTGTTTCACTAACTGCTAGCTGTGCTGAGTAGTGCGGTAAGTGACTGAGGTAACTTGCCTTGCTTGCCGCCGTTTGCTTGTGTTGCCGGCTGGTACTGTGCTGTTGGTTGCGTGCTCAGCGCCTCACACTCGTACTCACAGGCATTCCATTGGATAACAACTCTACCAGTATGAGTAATCTACCTACCAGAGATTACTCTTTGTTGCACTTTGAGTTGTGTCGTGTTTTGTCGCTTTGCTGTGTTGTTGTTGTGTAAAGTGTTGCAGCGCTTGAATGTGCTCACTCCTGACTTCGTTTATAAACTGCTGTTTAAGCGCAGCTCATCGTCATCACATACACAGAAACAATAGCATAGCCTGTAGAAAATCAAAAATATTCGGAGAAAGTTCTAGTGTCGAACTAGGGTATTTTCTTTGAATTCTTTCTATTTCTACATATGTACAGATATGCGAAATAGACCCTCAGATATCGATATCGCTCTGAACACGTCCTTTTCTCCGCAAGAAGCTGCTCTGTTGGCAGAACCGCCGATATCGGGCCTCTATAGCATAAATCTACCATACAAACTGACCGATCCAATACCTGACAGCTATAAGTATATGCTACAGTGATCTGATCTGAACAATTTCTTCCGCTACTGCAGCATTGCGTTGGATAATATTTTATGAGAAATTTCGCAGCTATATGCTATAGTGGTCCTATATGCTATAGTGGTCCTACATAACTACATCAACTTAGCTCGTCACGCTGATCATTTATGTATACATTTGATAAGGTATGCGAAGATTTCTTCTGTGTGTTACAAACTTACGTATATCTTGCGCTTGTTGCTTATATATTTTTTCTTTTTCCTACAGGGGTGGCATTTACATCAGCCTACCAATACTAATAGAAATGAGAGTAACTTCTTGTGTATTTCGTTTTTTTTTTTATTCTTCTGATATTTAATTACCTCACTTGCATGTGTATTTATTTGCCTGCTTGCTTGCTGGTTACTGATTGGAAACGGAAACCGGCAATATTGTTACAGACAGCAGCTCGTGCCGCAGTTGCCCGCATACACACACACCTTCAATACACTTCGATAACCGCTTGCAACCAAGCGCAGCTGAAATCTTGTCTTCTTGCAACGGTGCCATATTCCATATTCATCTTCAGTAGCACAGTAATCTTCGTTGTCGAAGTTGTTGACCCAATTCAATCAATAAATTTCAAAACCAAATAAATGTTTTTACAACTTACTTGAGTTACTCTATTTCATTTGATTTTGTATCGGCATTTAATAAAGGGTTTTTCGTTTGGGTTGTATTGGTTGAGGCTGTTATTGCTGCACCCTTGAATAGATTTAAAAATTATAGGAAATGTTGCTGTGGTGACATTTCTTAACTATTTTTAAATCCAAATCCGTTTCGTTTCTGTGAGCACGACTGCATTGCGAGTGTGTTTTAACGTTGTGATATGTTGAGTCGTTCTAGGTCACCTAGTCCACGATCTTCGAAACTGTTATGTATAATATATCTGTCATGTTTGATATGTAGTCAATTCCTTAATAAGCAATAGAATCGGTTCACGTTCTAGCGCTTCGAGAAATTCAGGACTAAGGACTTAAAGCTCCAAATCATCACATAAAACGTAAATCTTTAGGGAGTGCGGACTCGCCTTCCGCCGCCTACTATTCCCTTTGAGTCATAATGGTCAAAACCGACTAAAACAAGATGGTGTTCCTGCAGGCAGACACTACTTGAAAGTCAACGGACACCTAGATGACCATTCTGAAATAAAGATTCGAAAGTATAATTGTCTCTCATCTGTGTTGATGCGATTTTTTCGATTTGAACCCATTAATAATGTGATTTTCTAAGGCCATCCAAGAACTTTACTGGTCTAATATCTTTAAAACTCGACACTTCGTTCATTGCTCATCAAAAACAGACAGATTTATACGACGCAGTAATCGACTATTAAATCATTCGTATGCGTATCAATCCAAAGCACCAATATTGTGTGCAAATATAACAGTTCGTCCTTATTGAAGAACCCTTTGCAAGCGCTAGAAGTTTTCTCCAAAGGAAAAATAAATCAAATTTACACCACCGTCGATTGCTTGCAACATTTAAAGTCTAAACTTTTCTTATCGTATCGTTTTATTTGTAAGCAAAAACTTGGAGTTTCGACTGTTAAAAACTAAAAAAAAAAAAACATCTCGTCATTCTTGTTATCGCACGCCAACTTCAAAGTTTAACGTCTACATCGCAACTACTATCAGCGCTGTTGTTGTGGGTTGCGTCGTCAAGGAGCTGAGTGTTGTCCTATATTTGAGTGGCGCAGGCAGCAATCGACTTCCGTGTTTTTGTCGCGTGGCTTGGCATGTCGACGCTTTGATTTGACCACACGTCCGACCACTCGTCCGTCCGGTCGTCAACTGAGTTCGCTTTCATAAAACTAGCTGCCGTTATAGTTTGGAAAGCATGTTCGATTTTCTCAAACTCACACATTGCACACAAAGGATATTAACTGGGGCACGTGGACATGCTCAGCTCAGTAAGAATATTTTTGTGTGTGTGTGTGTTTTGACCGCATTAAGTATGTTACGTGATTTTAAACGTTTAATTGCATTCATATACTTTTTTACCCCTACAACAACAACGAATTCTATTAGCAGCCGACGCACGAAACGTCGAGACGCAACGCCAAAGCGACTGCCACTTCTTCTGTGGTTGGTTGAACGATTGTTCGCTGCTTGGGTTGAGTGGTGCGATGGATGGTGATATCGAATTGCGTTGGTTTTTCAAATCGGTGTTTGCGCCTTTGTGGTACCACATTTTGTGCTAGTTTTGTTGTGCAGCTATGTGTATTGACATAAGTAAGGGTGGTGCGAAAATACGCCGGAAATCAAATTCTGTATTTTCCAACCCCTAAAAATTATTCCCCACGGCTATACGATTATTAAGGATTGCCGCTAATTTAGAAGTAGCTTAGGAGTTTTCATCTTTCGGATTGAGACTATAATTTTCTTAATAAAAGATATAATTAGGTAAGGTTTTGTAGAATCGGTAGAAAACAGAAAGCAGATTGTGTCGGTATTGATTCCAAGGCCAAGTCATCTATGTATACTCGGCCGTTTCAGCATTAAAAACACTTAAAAAATTAAATCCGTTCTCAAAATAGTATTCTCAAAATGAAGCAGCTTTACACTTCCTCTGTTACCAACAGCCGAAAAACACTTAGAACTAGAACTTACCAACTCGCTGAATTTTGTAGATATTTAGTCTAAATTCTCCTCGCTATTAGTTCTTTTCATTTTGTTTCTTTATCTAATCAAGACAAAGTACGACGAGGCTGGTGATGAAGTCTTCACTAGAAATAGCATCAATAGTGAGGACAGATACTGCTTGAGCGCATAGTTAGCGAGCTCACGCTAGTATTGCTGCTCTGCTGTTGCAGTGATTGCTCACCTTTCTGAAAGAGGCTACACTTCGTAACAGTGCATCTACCGCCATCATAATAGCAGCCGCTTCTGCCTGAAAAACACTACAGTGGTCCGGTAGCCTAAAGCTGAGATCGACACACAATAGATGGCTTCGAGCCATCCGTGAAAAAGCTCACTGCGCCTCTGCTTCAGCGACTCCTCCTCATCCGCATATTCCTAGTCGGTATGTGAGCAGCGAAAAAGTCGCCACCAATAGCCTCTACGACTTCGAATTTCGGCGGTATGCCTGTTCCTAATTATAATTGACTTCTAAGGTTTGTTTGCATGTACATATTTTTCCAAATGTGAAGTGAGACCCAATGTTTGAATGATAAGAAAATTTAGCAGTTTTGCAACATATTTGGTGGGCATTTTGGTACCCAAAGACTTTCTCAAGTGGCAACACTGATTACAATCGGTTCGGTGTCGGGTTACTGATTTTATGATTATCTGTTCTGACTAGTTCGTCATAATTTTTATATGCCTATTGAATCACCCTCATTTTACTCAATTTGTGTTTCTTTAGTTGGCGACATATTGCTATACTAATATATTTAACATATTATAACTTACATGAATACAAATTATTGCGTGCGCCGATGTCACGAGTTCGTATTTCTGTCTACCGTAATAGCAGGTGTGTTGGGTTTCTTCTAAATCACGTGGGAAAAAGTTAATGTATATATGTATATTACAGTTTTTTTGCTTCTTGTTTTAGAGGTTATGTTTTCAGAGGAGGTTCGATTCAAGCATCACATCAAGAAAAAATAAAATGTTTTGACATAAACTAAAAGATATGGAAGTAGACGATTTAGTGTTCTACACCACTCCATAATATATTTAAGAAAGTGTATTAAATTCACCCTAAGCATTTTGAATCACTTCGAAACTAAGAAAAGGCGAGGAGCACACTAGATCACTTTGTGATTGAGCAAGTGCTCAGAATTAGCCAGGATCACGCGAAGCCCAGAAATCCAATGGTAAATTGTAATAAAAACTGCGGAGCTCCAATTATCCCATATTTTGTATTTATATGTCCACTTGGCAGCAACATAGTTGACATATAAATTTGGGTTCACTTTTTGTACATAGGGTTGACTGTTCTGTGGAAGCGTCTTTAAAGTATTGATCTCACTATTGACTTCAAAACTTTTATTCTATTTTAATAGCTAATTTTCGCAATTGTTGATTGCGTTCCACAGGCAAATTTTAAAATATAATAAACACTCTCCTCATATACGTTGCTTTGAGCTTTCTTCCTTTGGTTCCAAGCCATAATTTTTATATTCTACAACTAACAACTAATATACATACATATCTTCTCTGCATTGCAGCTTCTCGACATGTTGAAGTTCTATACGCGCTTCGAGATCAGTGACGTTACCGGCGATTCACTAACCGATCACCAGATGACACAGTTACATTACAAGAAAATCACCTCACTACAACGAGCTGCATTCGCCAAATTTCCCGATTTGCGACTGTTCGCTTTGTCCAATGTCGCGAATGTAGACACGCGCGATGCACTACAACGTCACTTTGGTGCATTGGATGTAAAGGCGCTCAAAGAAATTGCATCGTTTTTGAATTTGGTGCCCGACGCGCTAGAACCG